AGGGTCAGGGGCTGGGAACCGCCATGATGGTCTCTCATTCTTCATCCCTGGAGCAGGTGCTGGAGCCTCATCTCTGGAGGTGTGGCCCTGTGGAGGAAGCAGGACATCATATGAGAATGGGCTGTGGTGGGCCAAAAACTATGGAAGGACCCCTTTGTTCCCTCTGCCCCAGTACCTGAGGGTCGTCACATCTCTCCAGGGATTGGACCAGAACAAAGTATATGTTGGGGAAAGGCTCCCTCCCTGCAAAGAAAACGGAGACATCAGCAGGCTCCTAGCTCCCAGCCACGCTAGCCCCAGTCTGGGGCAGGAGGGTGGGGGGCCTGGGAAGGGGCATTTCCTTCTACCTAATCTTATTAGCTGCCCCACCCTGAACTCCTCCGTACGGGCGTCTGGGCTCCGTCCCGACCGGCCTGGCACAGAAGCAGCAGCCAAATTCTCCCCCGGCTCCAGAATAAGTGTTTTTGATGGGTGGAAACCTTGGCTGCTGCTTCTGCGCCAAACAGGGCCGGGAAGGAGCCATGCCCACACGGAGAAGGGGCAGTGGGGAAGAGGTGCGAGGGACGTCAGCCGGGAACCGCCGGGATGTTCTCTCGCCCTTCATGAGCTGGAGCCTCATCCCTGGAGGCCTGGCCCTTTGGAGTAAGCAGCACATCATATGAGAATGGGCTGTGATGGGCCAAAAACTACATCTTCGCACTGTCACCCAATTCCACGCTCTGGAATTTGTCTTTGGGGAATCCTCAAGCTGTTTTTTTAATTAAAAAAGAAGGGGGAAAGGACAGTGGTCGAGGACAATTGGAGCTGTAATCAGCCAGCCCCTATAGGAAGGTCCCCAGTCTCCAAACCTGCCTTATCAGTTTATGCCTTTTTTCAGAAATGCACCCAGAGCATGAACATGTACTCTCAACTTGTAGGGTGTTTTCCCCGCCCCATGCAAAGGTTCCCTTCATCTTACCTGTTCATTTTTGGGGAGGCTTGGGCAGCAGCCACAGCGGTGCAGACAGGAGATCCTGCAACAACAAAAGGGATCTTTGAAGCAGGGGAGAACTCGACGCTACACACTGCTTCTTGGGCTCGAATCCTGTTGCTGCTTTCGCAGTGGCATCTGGGTGGCCCCTGGGAGAAAAGAAGGCTGGACCAGACAGGCCCTTGGCCTGATCCTGCAGGCCCTTCTGGTGTGTTTCCTAAGACCCCCTCCTCCCACCTGTCCCATTACCTCAGGGGCGAGAGGCCGCCGTCTGGGCTCCAGTCCCTCCCGGAATGCGGCGGTTCCCTGGCTGAACTTTTCCCTCGCTGCAAAGGAAACAGAGACATCAGCAGGCGCCTGGCTCCCAGCCACGCTAGCCCCAGTCTGGGGCAGGAGGGTGGGGGACCTGGGAAGGGGCATTTCCTCCTACCTGATCTTATAAGGGCTCCCCACTTCTCCTCCATACGGGCGTTCGACTGGCCTAGCACAGAAGCAGCAGCCAAAGTCTCCCCCCTCTCCAAAATAACCCAAGAAGCTGTTTTAATGGGAGGAAACTTTGGCTGCTGCTTCTGCGCCAAACCGGGCCGGGAAAGAGCCATGCCCACACAGAGAAAGGGCAGTGGGGACGCGCCGTGAAGGACGTCAGTCAGGAACCGCCGGGATGTTGTCTGGTTCTTCATCCCGGGAGCCGGAGCTGGAGCCTCATCCCTGGAGGCGTGGCCCTGTGGAGGAAGAGGGACATCACATGAGAATGGGCTGTGACTGGCCAAAAACTACTGACAGAATGTCAACTCAGACGCTCTTTCAGCTGTCTTAACCACACCAAATATTGAAAGGCTTCTCTCTCCACTTTCACTATCATGGAGAATCCTGGAAATCCTGTAGTGTGTTCAGGGTGCTGGGAATGGGAGCTGACCGAAATGGTAGGTCCTTGACAAAGGACAGGTCCCAGGATTCCTTGGTGGAAGCCAAGAGCCTGAAAGTGGTAGAAGAGGCCTTGGAATGTCCGGTGTGGTGGATGCTCTCAACAGGAAGCCTGGCGCTTTTGTCGGGGTTTTGTTCTGGGGATTGCAGCTCCAACCAGAATCTCATAGGGTCAGAACCAATGAGGTTCAGGGCAGGGTGGGATTGCCAAAGTCTCTTTTCCCGGACACCCGCCTGCTTTCTGCCCCCTTTTTGATAGATTTTTGGGCCAAGAACAGAAAGCTAAATGCACACAAGTTAGATGCGCCAAAGTTGCTGGCTTTCTGGAATCGTCAAGGAATGATGGACACATGCAAGTGCGAACCAGGGGGAACTTTTTTAAGCTGTGTGAACACGATCACACTGCCGATATCGCAAGAGCCGCCTCCTTGCGGGAATAAGGAAGCCCAGGAGAATCAGATGCCCCACAAGAGCATCTTGGATGAGGTGGCTTTCAAAGAGGGTGAGACAATTGCCTGGTGGAGAGCGTTATTGCAAGGCAACCAGGTTGGAGGGAGGAATGCTTCTGAAAAGCACTTTCTGGAAGCCACAGGTGGAGAGAGTGTTCCTATGAGGCCCAAAAGAAGTTGCACAAGGACCCCTTCCTTCCTTTTGTCCCAGTACCTGAGAGTCGCCACGTCCCTCCAGGGATTTCGCCAGAACGAAGTAAACGTTGGGGAAAGGCTCCCTCCCTGCAAAGGAAACGGAGACATCAGCAAGTGCCTGGCTCCCAGCCATGCTAGCACCAGTCTGGCGCATGAGGGTGGGAGACATGGGAGACATGGGAAGGAAGCATTCCTGTAATATAGGGCACTTAATTGGCATTTCCACTTACCTGAAGTGGGAGCCTTTCGCCCCTTGTTCTGGCCGGCCTCTCGCCTAAGGAAGAAACAAGCTCAGTTAGTCTGATTGGTTGGAGGAGTTCCAGATAAATATATAGATGATAATATGTATATATTTCATTCCAAGGTTTATTATGGTAACTGAGACCACCAGTTGAGGTTGGCTAGAATCTCAGGCATTTCCACTTACCTGATCTTAGCAGGTCTTCCCACTTGGCCTCCATATGGGCGTCTTGGCTCCGTCTCAGCCGGACTAGCACAGAAGCAGAATCCAAAGTCTCCTCCCTCTTCGGAATAACTCTCGATGTGCTTTTAATGGGAGGAAACCTTGACTGCTGTTTCTGCGCCAAGTAGGGCCAGGAAGGAGCCATGCCCGCATGGAGAAGGGGCGGAGGGGGAGCCACACGAGGGTCAGGGGCTGTGAACCACCGGGATGGTCTCTCATCATTCATCCCGGGAAGCCGGAGATGGAGCCTCATCCCTGGAGGTGTGGCCCTGTGGAGGAAGAAGGACACAGTAAGGACTCTCGTGTGAATGGACTCTCACTTTCCTTGGAGTCCCCAATTATCATGTTGTCACAAAATGCTGCTGGTTAAACTCACAGTGCATAAAATCGCTGGAGGCTCCTGAGTTTTTAATGCTTTCAGTTGTACTCTGCAACCATCTGGGAACTGTAGCGCCACACACAAGCCGAGACCGGGAATATCCACTCAAATTAAAGTTTAAGGAACCTCTTTTCAAAGGGTCACACGCAGTGATGGTGGAAAGAAATAATACAAAATAAATCTCACTACGCTTCTGCCCTGTGTGAGCTAAAGCCCCCTAGAGACCTTTCCCTTGAAACGATAGGCTGTGTACCCACCATACCTTTGGGGCTCATCCCCACTTCCCCTTGGGTCGTGTGCCCAGCAAGCTCAGATGTGTTAACATATTTGCTCTTTGCTAGACGGGCCAGCCTGGTTTGCAAAAGTCAGCCCAGAAATTCCTTGTCCGGCACAGTTGTGCAGCCTGTACTTTCATTGATATCCCAATTAATCAAAATTCTGCAGTTGATCAATTTCTACAGCTTAGTTGGGTTGGGGTCTCCTGCAAATCTATAACAGTATTTTTCCTGTACAGTTTTTAATCCCTGTATTGTTGTGACCTGATTCATGATTATAAAGTAAGTAAAGCTTATTTTTAAAGTTCCCAGCTTGATGCCTGATTCTTTCTTAAGTGGGGCAAAGGGAGGGAGGGAAGGCAGCTAGCTTCATAGCTGGACTCACTCAAAACAAGGTTTTGCAGTCTAATTCCTATCCTTTTAAGTTTGCTGTCAAGGATGAGATTTTTTAAGGACCAGGTGGCAACCCTTCTTCAGGTATACAGGACCCACACTGTGAATTGTGCTCGCAAACGTACTGGGAGCCATCATAGATCCTTTAGGACCAGTGTTATATGGTCCCGGCGGCTGCTCCCAGTCCCCAGTCTAGCTGTCACTACATCTGCTGGCTCCTCTCAGATATGCCTGAGCCAATCTGATCTGAGGGGAATCCCTTCCTGTCCTCCAATATATGGTCATCTGTTAGAGCTTGAGCAGGACCAAACCCCACCTCCCAGGCGGCCCCCTTGAAGGCAAGGCACAATCCTGGGACCCTCAACACCCAACGGTTCTCCATTTCCAAGGCACGGGGTCCCTCCCCAACTCAAGAACGGGGCATCTGAGCTCCTCCTACCTTCCTGGTTCCTCCTCATGACTGAGTTCCTAGGACTCCACGGATCTCTGCTAATGGGAGCTGTTCCCAGAGCCCCTAACAAACTACAGTTCCCAGGATCATGGGGGGGGAAGACACCTGCTTTTTAGAACACAGATGAGGAACCTGCAGCTTCCTCACACCCATTTCCTTGGAACCCAGAATGGGAAACTGAAGTGCTTCTTCTAACAGGATGATTGCAGGGAGCAGCAGTGCTTTTTATCTTCTGGACTTCCGTTCCAGCAGCTTAAAAAAAAAATTTTTTTTTTGCCCAACTTCCGCCTGCTTTTCCCCTGTAAAAGAGTCTCTCCCCCCCCCCCCGGTCAATGCAGCTAAGATGGCTTGCTGCTGCGTGCCCAGGGAAGGGCCGCCATTGCCCGCTGCAGTGGTCACCTCGTGTGTCAAGAGAGGGATGCTGATTGGGAATCGGAGCAAGAAGAAGCAGTCAGCTTCTGGGATGCTGATTCCTGGACATCTTGCAGCTGTGTGGATGCAGGAATGGGTGGGCAGGAGACCTGGTCCATTTGTGGGCAAAGAAATAAAACTGCCATTCGGGGATATCTTTATCAGCACCACCTGCAAAGTCACAACGTGGTTAATAAGACTTGGGAATACCCAGAAATGTTTCTCTGAGTAAACTGGAGGGGAAGCAGAGTAACAGGGTGGGGTGCAGTCGGGAGGGAAAGTGGGAATGATGGAAAAGCTCAAAATTGATGCAGGACTGCAGGAGGTGTAATGCAGACTTAAGATGAGACTTAAGCAGGGCCAGAGCCTCAGCCACTTGGCTTCCTGGCGCAGCTGAAGCAGGCCGCACTAAAAAGAAGCAAAAGAAACAGGACAATGGGAGTTGTAGTCGGACATCACCTGTAGGAGGAACCCCAGCTCCCAAACCCATCGTACTAGTGTAAGCCTTTTTTCAGAAATGCATCCAAAGCATGAACACATACGCTCAACTTGTAGAGGGTTCTCCCCTCCCCATGCAAATTTCCCCTTCCTCTTACCTGCTCTTTTCAAAAGGGAGGCTTTGGCAGCAGCCATGGTGAGAGAAGACAGGAGATCCTGGAAGAAAGAAGGGATCTCTGAAGCAGGGGAGAACTCGGCGCTAAGGGCTGCTTCAAGGGAAGAATCCCTGAACATGTGAACGGTCTGTCACAGACTAAATGCCAGGGACAAAACGTCCCCTCAGCCGCCCATCCAGCTGTCACACCCACCCCAGGGACTTAAAGGAGATCCCACTGCTGAGCTCACAAGAGCTGCCTTTTTGCAGAAACAATCACATGACCAGGAGATGCAGCAGATGAGCATCTCTGACTGCATGGCTTGAAATGAAGGTTAGGCAACTTAATGGAGGAGAGGGCAGTCAAAGGCTACTAGCCCCGATAGATCTGCTCTGCCACCACAGTCAGAAGCCCAACTGGTCCAGCCTCCTCTTTCCCCAGGGGCCACCCATTTGCCTGTGGGAATGTCGCAAGCAGGATTCGACCACAAGAGCCCTCTGCCCGCCTCGGACTTCCTGCAACTGCATTTCTGAAGCATGGTTGCCCTCCAACCACGGAAACACAGCAGAGCCTTCAGGGAGACTTGAATGAGATAGTAGCCCCAGAATATGATAGATCAAATCAAACAATAAGGTTGGAGGATGGATGGCAGCTAACAGATTGAGGTTGAATCCTGACAAGACAGAAGTATTGTTTTTGGGGGACAGGAGGCGGGTAGGTGTGGAGGATTCCCTGGTCCTGAATGGGGTAACTGTGCCCCTGAAGGACCAGGTGCGCAGCCTGGGAGTCATTTTGGACTCACAGCTGTCCATGGAGGCACAGGTAAAATCTGTGTCCAGGGCAGCTGTTTACCAGCTCCATCTGGTACGCAGGCTGAGACCCTATCTGCCTGCGGACAGCCTCACCAGAGTGGTGCATGCTCTAGTTATCTCCCGCTTGGACTACTGCAATGCACTCTGCATGGAGCTACCTTTGAAGGTGACCCGGAAACTACAACTAATCCAGAATGCGGCAGCTAGACTGGTGACTGGGAGCGGCCACCGGGACCATATAACACCGGTCTTGAAAGACCTACATTGGCTCCCAGTACGTTTCCAAGCACAATTCAAAGTGTTGGTGTTGACCTTTAAAGCCCTAAACGGCCTTGGTCCAGTATATCTGAAGGAGCGTCTCCACCCCCATCATTCTACCCGGACACTGAGATCCAGCACCAAGGGCCTTCTGGCGGTTCCCTCACTGCGAGAAGCCAAGTTACAGGAAACCAGGCAGAAGGCCTTCTTGGTAGTGGCGCCCTCCTTGTGGAACGCCCTCCCACCAGATGTCAAAGAGAGCAACAACTACCAGACTTTTAGAAGACATCTGAAGCAGCCCTGTTTAGGGAAGCTTTTAATGTTTGATGTGTTACAGTATTTTAATATTTTTTTGGAAACCACCCAAAGTGGCTGGTTTATTTATACCCAGCCAGATGGGCGGGGTATAAATAATAAATTATTATTATTATTATTATTATTATTATTATTATGGTCCAATGAAGGGAAATTACCAAACTACTTTTCTGATATAGTAAGGCATATGGAGTTAATATAGCTATGTAGATTAAAACATCTAACAGAGCGCAACTATACTTTCCATTCAAGTTTAACAAAATAATTCCAGTAGACCAGATATGGTGTGAGGGTCCAGAGATTTGGTGGTGAAAAGGGGTGAACAAGGTGCAGATCCAACCGAGAACCATCTCAGACCACAATTTGGTGCTCCTGGATCCAGCTCTGGCACCAGAGTCCTAGGTCACCTCAGCAGCTTGGAGTGTGCTTAACCAGCTTGGGTTGTCAAAACTACATTTATGGAGCTAGTCTTACCTTGTAGTCCATGTGCCGCTAACCTCCAGACTGGATCACTGCAACGTGTTTGATGGGCTGCTGCTGCTGGGCTTTGTCCATAAACTGTAGCTAGCGCATAAGACTCGGTTGCTCACTGGCAGAACATCACTGCCATGCTACACTGCTGCTGAAAGACTTATACCAGCTGCCAATTAGCTACTGGGAGAAGTTCAAGATGCTGGTGCTGGTGTACAAATCCTATACATCTTGGGACCAAGCTTACCCCTGGGATTTTTGTAAACTACCGTATTTTTCGCTCTATAGGACGCACTGGACCACAAGACGCACCTAGTTTTTAGAGGGGGAAATCAAGAAAAAATATATATTATTCCCCCCCCCCAGCCCCAAAGAGCAAAGAAGCCAAGGCAGCGAGCACGATCAATCCCGCTCGCTGTTTTGGCTTCTGCAAAGAGCAAAGAAGCCAAGGCAGCGAGCGGGATGGATCGCGCTTGCTGCCTTGGCTTCTTAAGCCTTGCGTAGTCTCTCCTGGCTGGAGAGGCTGCGCGTGGCTATGGCAATTCCCCCACCTCCCACAAAAACCCACAGGAGCCGCGCAGCCTTTAAGGAGCGTGCGGCTCCTGTGGGCTTTTCTACGAGGAGGGAGAAGGGACTGACTGGCCATGTCAGTCCCTTCTCCCTCCTGGGGAAAAGCCCGCAAGAGCCGCACGAAGCCTCTTGGGGGCTTTTCCTGCCTGCCTCCCCCCTGCATTCGCTCCATAGGACGCACAGACTTTCCCCCTTAGTTTTTAAGAGGGAAAAAGTGCGTCCTATGGAGCGAAAAAAACGGTAAAGCAACCGAGCGGTTTCCATTCCTGACCTCTGACAAACATGCCGTTGTGCTCCTGTTTCTGACGGAAATCTCCCTGGTCACAATCCTTTCTGCATATCTGCCATGCAATTAAGACACAGCTGTATATCGCCTCTATAAAGCACGCACATAATCTCTCCTCAAGCATAAGCTGAAGGAAAGCGATGGCAAAGAATACAATAAGAAAAAGTTGTTTCTGGTTTCCCACAACTGCAACTGGTCTCAAGTTGGAAAAATGGAAATCTAGCCAACAAATTAAGTTTGCAGGATTACTTTTGCATCAGTAAGAATGGGGTTCACAGACCTGCTATGTAAATGATTGAATTTCTACCAGGCAACTCACACATGTTATATCCAGGGTCTATGAAAAGAATAAATATTCCAAAGAGATCATCCAATTACTTACATGTCTAGCAGTGTTTAAAACAAATCTGGCTGGCTTGCATGCATATTTGTTGGGAACCTAGGTGGCCTTTTGCTCCACAAATATACTTTTAATAACCTCCCACCATACATTTTATTTTTAATAAAAATGGAGGAAATTAAGGACAGATACATTGTTATTTTAACAGTAAGGTTCCTTCAACAATGGAAACAACCATATTTCACATAATGGATTTTTAAAATCTCATAGAACTTCCCTTTCAAATCTAATAAAATCATCTTATCAGTTATTTTTCATAATATTGCTGGTTTTCTGCCCCAACAGTAGCAATCAGGGAGGGAAATGAGGGTGAGGCAAGAGTATTGCTCCCAGTGCATGCATGTTCCCATCTACTCAGAGGTAAGTCATATAGCATTTGATGGCGCTTACCCTCCTTCGGGTGCGTATAGGACTGCAGCCTGAAGCATATATTTTGTGATCATGCTCTTCATATGGTTTATGATTCAATTTTTCCCCATTTAAAAATAGTTCATTTGCCACAGCATATATTTCAAACATTCTCATAAACTTGAAAACACATCATACACTCCAATCTCATTAAATGTGTGGGTCCGTTTTGTATAAATATGTTGACCACGTTTCCCAGTCCCTTCACATTTAAAGTAATTACATTGATGTCAGTACGTTTCTGAGCACAATTCAAAGTGTTGGTTGTTAAGTTGTGGGTGAACATATCAGACGACACAGCGATTCTTCAAACAGCTCTTGTTTATTCACAGGCCAGAACAGAACTGAACTGAAGGGTTCAGCCAGCCTGCTTACATAGAGCTCCACTAGAACGCAACAGTAACCATTTCCTGTAACTATCCAATCACTGAACATCACTTTTGATCCCTTATTTGCATATGTGAACCTGAACTATCTACAGTATCCCCCTGCTGGCCCAGGGTGAGAACTTCAGTACATAACATTGGTGCTGACCTTTAAAGCCCTAAACGGCCTTGGCTCAGTATACCTGAAGGAGCGTCTCCACCCCCAACATTCTGCCCGGACACTGAGGTCCAGCACCAAGGGCTTTCTGGCAGTTCCCTCCCTGCAAGAAGTGAGGTTACAGGGAACCAGGCGGAGGGCCTTCTCGGTAGTGGCACCTGCCCTGTGGAACACCCTCCCATCAGATGTCAATGAGAAAAACAACTACCAGACTTTAAGAAGACATCTGAAGGCAGCCCTGTTTAGGGAAGCTTTTAATGTTGTATTTTAATGTTCTGTTGGGAGCCGCCCAGAGTGGCTAGGGAAACCCAGCCAGATGGGTGGGGTATAAATAAATTATTATTATTATTGTACGCATTCTGACAAGTGGTTATTAATTATCCCCCCATTAAGTTGTTCTATAAAATTATTATCATTATGGCAGATACCTGCAGGCGACTGCCCTTGCTGTGCAGGCAATGTCAGCAAAGCAGGTTCTTGGATGCTAGTTTCTAAGATTTCCTGTGCTAAGGATCTACAGTTCCCAAGTCCCTGATCCATGCTGCTTTTAAGCGTCCCATATACTGTATGCAGTTGCTGCCTCTTCTCTGCAGACAGATGTGCCGTTACATACACTGCTAAGTCCTTCAGCTCCTGCCATGACTCGGCAGGAGTTTCTGGGTGAATCAGTGCAGAATATGCAGCAAAACAAGGATCTCCAGCGAGCAGTGATCCTACTGCCCTATGTGGTGAACCAATTCCCACTCCTCAAGCTCCCTCCTTGAGGGCCAGGCTGATGTTGTGACCATATGTGCTCCATTGTAATGCTCCCCCCAAATGAATCAGAGATGTTCCTTACCGAAGGGTACTGGAGTGTGCTTGTGTTGTTTCTTATTGCGATGGATAGTTCCTTATGTGGGGTGGTACTGAGGATAATGGGTTCTCGTGATGACTCCTTGGATTCTAAAATTGATTGTAGAAGAAGAAGAGAAGAGTTTGGATTTGATATCCCGCCTTTCACTCCCTTTAAGGAGTCTCAAAGCAGCTAACATTCTCCTTTCCCTTCCTCCCCCACAACTAACACTCTGTGAGGTGAGTGGGGCTGAGAGACTTCAGAGAAGTGTGACTAGCCCAAGGTCACCCAGCAGCTGCATGTGGAGGAGCGGAGACGCGAACCCGGTTCCCCAGATTACGAGTCTACCGCTCTTAACCACTACACCACACTGGCTCCTTAGTAGTACTTTGGAACTCTGCAGAAATCTTTAAAAGACTAGATTTCAAAAGTTCAAGTCTTTCTAGAATCCCTTGCTGCTCTTCCATTGGGAGGTCTTGAAAAGAGCCTTTCAGATTCTGCTCCAGGTCACAGCAACAAGGTTCAAACATAGAAAGAGTAGGAACTACCAACATGAGGTTGTGTGAACTTTTAAGACCTCTCCCCATTTCCCATAATACATTTTTCAACAGCATCATTGATACATCACAAATATGTCACAAAGGAGGAGTGTTTGGCATGTGGATACATGAGTCAGTAACCTCAATTCCCAACACCTTTTTACTACCCTCTTCCCCAAAGAACAATAAAAGTATTTACACATTCCCCCAGCTGCAAGGCTTTTCTGCCGCTTCTCCTTTGAAAGTATCAGGATTCAATCCACCATCCCTATGGATTTCTGTCTGGGGTATGTGCTGCCCTTGATCGCTTCCTGCCTCCTATTGTGTGGCTAAATTCACACCTTGACCTTATGCTTAAGGGATTATGGAGGCAGGGGAAGGGGCCATTAGCCTTTGGAACCAAATTCAAACTGTTGAATTTTGGAGATTGTTTGATTCTATATTGGATAGTCAGAGGAAAGAGTACGATACATGGTATCCGTTTATTGCTACCATTTTATAGACTGCTTTTCTGAGCCTCTTTGCTGTTGTGTAAAAGGTCATTGTCCTGGCCTTAGTTTGAGGCTGTGGTGGGGACTTGGGATTTTTTGGGAGTCGATAACTTTAACTGGTTTTAACACAACTATTTCCCCCCACTGAATCTCTGTTTTTGGTGGAACACTGAGCTGGGATTCCAAAGCTGACCTCAGTTGGTGAGCAGGTTTATAGGGGATGCAGTTCCTCAGTTACCCTAGTCGCCAAGCCATTTATGGCTCTGTAAGTAATAGCCAGTCCCTTTAACTGGGCCTTAAAACAAACTGGAAAGCAGTGTAACTTGAACAAGACTGGTGTGCAGTGCCAGAGTTACCTATAAGCTAAACAAGCTACAGCGTAGGGCCACACTCTCTTGGGGGCCCCAAAAAAAATTAAAGGAAAAAAACTGGATGTGCATTTCCAAAATATAAGATAAATAACAAATAAAATAAAATTTATATACAGCAAGTGTTTTGTGTTGTATAGGCTCCTGTGATGTAAGTAATGTGCCCCACCTGCTAACCTGCTCCCTAAAATATCACATATAAAGGGCCCCATTACCTTCAGTAGCTTAGGGCCTCATCAAAGCTAAATCTGGTGTGATATGGTCAGAATACTTAACCGAAATTATTTTGGCTGCAGCATTTTTTACCAGTTGCATTTTTTGAACACTGTCCAAGGACAGTCCCACGTACACCCACATTAGATTCCCATATCCATACTAAGTTACAGCGTGGAGCATGTATAAGAGTGACCAGATCTGCTTTTCTAGATGGGATTGTCAGAAACAGGACGCTACATGGCACCCACTTCATCGCTGCAGGTTTATAGGCTGCTTTTCTGGGCCCTCTTGGCTGTTGTGTATGGATGGCGCTTGTGTAAACGGTCCTGATCCTGGCCTTAGCTGGAGGCTGTGGTGGGGACTGCCCTGCGCATTCCTAGTTTGAACGCAGGGCTCCCCCAAAATGCTTCGCAAGGATGGAGGCGCATGCAAGGCCAGGCGATGGTCCCTTCCTAATCGCGCCCAGCGGAGGGCGCTGCCTGCAAGCGGCATTTCTCGTGCGGCGGCGGCGGCAGCAGCGTCGGGGACGAGCGGAGGCTTCCCAGAAGCAGCCGCTTCTCCTCCTCCGCCTCCTTCTCTCCTTTTCTTTGGCGTCCCGCTTCGGTGCGGCGAGCGCGCAGCCGAGAATGGAGCCGCTGCTGCTGCTGCCGCCGCCGCCCCCTGGAGCCCCGCCGCTCTCCGCGGAGCCCCTGCGCGCCGCTTGGGCATCGCCCCGCGCGCGGTGACCTGGCCCAGCCGGGACGCGCAAGGCGCGCGGGCGGCCGCCCCCGGCGCCTGGTCGGCCGGCGCGCTCTGCCTCCTCTCTCTCGCTGCGCAAAGGCGCCCGGCTCGGCGGGGGCGCGCGCTTGAGCCTCTCGCTCCTTGGAGAGCTCCTGGGAGGCGGCGAGGGGGCAGACTTTTCTCCTCTGCCGACCCAGCGGCTGGAAACAACTTTGGGGGCGAAAGCGGGGTGCCGAGGATCTTTTCTCTCTTGGCTTGGAAGCTCCTTTCCCGTGTCTTTTTGGCGCTGCCCGGCGCGCTCTTCTTTCCCGGCTGGGCTCTCCGCCTTTCTTGGGTTGTTATTCGCCTTCCTTGCATGGATGCACCATGGCCACTGCAACGCTCGTTTGCAGGGTGCAGTTCCTCGACGACACCGACCCTTTCAACAGCACCAATTTCCCCGAGCCCACCAGGCCGCCGCTCTACACTTTCCGGGAGGATATCCCCCTGGGCACCCAGTTGGCCGGGGTGCACCGCCTGCTCAGAGCCCCGCAGAAGGTACGGGGGGGGGGCGTCGCGGAGGGAGGGGCTCCTGGGAAGAATGCGGGTCGTTTTTTGCGGGAGGCTGGACCGGGCTGGAGACGGCAAGGGAAGACCCTCCAAATGTGCAGCCCCTTGAAAGTGCGCGCGCAAACAAGATCTTAAAGTGCCCTTGGTGTGCGTGGAGCTCTGCAGAGTAACGCAAGGAAAAGTTCCCGTTCTCTCTCTGACCCCAAGGGAGCTTATGTTCTGAATGACTTGTGCGGGGGGGAATGGTTGGGATTACCATATTGTGCATGTCTTGTGTCCGGGCAAGACGTTTTTCCGCCTTCTCCCCAAACACTAGAAATCAGTTACCAGGTGAGATCTGTTAGCAGCGAGCACTTCGCCTAACACATAATTAACGCGCGGAATTCATTGCCTCAAGATCTGATGATGGCCATTGGGGGAAGGAAACCACGGAGCCTTTGTTTATCTATCAATGGCTAATAGTCGTCGTGGCTATCTGGATCCTCGAGATTCAGAGACAGTGTAGCTTTGAAGGGCAGTTCAGGGACCACAGAGTAGGTGGCCAGGGAACAGCAGGGCAGAGCTCTTCACTTCACGTCCTGTTTTTCAGAGGCACTGGGCTGGCTACTGTGAGGAAAGGTCGCCTGGGTTTTTATGATGTTGTGTCAAATTTGTACCAAATATTGGGCCGAACCACCTGCTGACTTGTTATCTGTGTTGGTTTAGTGCAGCAAGGCTTTTGAGCCGATCCTGTATTTTGGCACTCTGAACATCCTATCTCTGAACATCCTAAGGGAGAAAAGCGACGAGTGATGGAAACAGTGGAAGTTGTGGCATCAAGAAATGCAAAGTGTAAGGTGTAAGGGAAATATTTCAGAAAATGCTTAGGTGGGACCAGTGGCGTAGCATGGGTTGTCAGCACCCGGGGCAAGGCAAGTAATTTGTGCCCCCTAACCCGTGGATTTGCGCCCCCTAACCCGTGGATTTGCGCCCCCTAACCTTAACCCCCAGATGTTGTGCCCGGTGCGGCCGGCCCCCCCTGCACCCCCCACGCTACGCCACTGGGTGGGACATGCAGTGAAGATCACCATCCAGCTTGTGAGCTGGTTGTCCACTGTGAGGCCAGATTCTTGCTGTAGATGGGCCTCTGGTTTGGTCCAGCAGGGCTCTTCTTACGATATGTGGTGCCATGTTCTACCCTGTATACTTCTGTTGTCAAATGTGGTGATCAATCCACAGGTTGCCTACAATATTTCCAAAAGAGAATGAGACCTTCTCAGGCATACGGTTGCTACACAGGTGATACAAACACACTGACTGCTATGTATAATGCAAAGTTTTATTCACAAACTTTGATAGAAAAATAATACTCCAATGCAGTGATATGTCACTCGATAGGTTCCTTGTGTTTCTGTTCCACTTGCCATTCAATGGATCTCAAAGGGACTTACAAGCAATGAACAGCAACAGCGACTTCACATATCACCTTAGGACAAGTTATATAATATGATCAGCAAATCATCAATTTTTTTTTTGCATAAAAAGTTAAGACACTATCATCAATGTAACAGACACAAATTAGAGGTGTCGTGTGTTGATGTTCACTGGGCTATTTGATAATTTTGGACACTGCTGCAAACCTCTTTCTACATATGTGTGAATCTCTTTTTATTTAAACCAGTTTGCGCCAATCACATTGACAGTGAAGTCTTACTCTTTATCGAGTGTGCTTCATTCTTGCTTATATCTCAATGTGATGCACACATTTTAATATCCAGTGCCTTGGAGCATTCTGTATAACTGTGTGCTTGCAAATTATCTACAGAACAGTTGTATATCCAAGAGCACCACTCTCTCTATTGCCATTTTTGTTTGATACTGTGTGTTTTGCTATGTAGTCATCTCTCCCCGTTTGATATTGCCCTCCTTGGTTATATTACCTTGTTTACGCCTTGTTTTCCTCTATCCAGTAATATGTCCATGCAAAATAATTGTTTCGTATTTTTGCATCTCTAATAGTGTAGAAGCAGAAACTAGTGCCTAAGTGAGGACTTAGAAGTGGGGCAGTTTGTTCTTGTGCATGTTTATTGAGAAGCAAGTCCCAGTGAATTCAGTGGAAATTACTCCAAGGAATGTATGCTTATAGGATTCAAACCTTACTAATTAGGGTGATGTAGAACATTTTCTTCCTTTAGCTTGTGGGAGGGAGGAATCCGCAAAATTAAGTTCCACCCTTCCTTGGTGGAGAGGAGAGAGTCTGTAATACAATATGCTTGCAAAAAATAGTTCTGGCACTTAGATTTATGTTTGGAGGTAGAACTGGAACTCTTGTCTTCTGCCCAGTAGGGAAGGACTGTACCTGAGGGGTTCAGGGAGAGGCTTTTGCTAATAGTGTAAATGTAGAGCAATGGTGTATTGATGCCATAGCACCATGGAGGTGAGGATAGAAAGTCTATTGGTCAGTGTGGTCAAGTGCATCTTGAGATCTTTTGCATGTGTCTCCTGTAGTTGCTTTTCCTGGACATTGGTGGCCATTTCTAAAAATGCTTCTGTGGATGTTCGTAGCAAGTGGTGGAGCTTCGAAGATTCTCAAAAGTAAAACACAGGAGGCGTAGTGCAGGATAGTGCGCACCCTGGAAATGATCTCTTTCAGCTTCTGCCTTCTGGAAGAAGGTACAGGGTTATAAAGACTAGGACTAGCCGCCTGTGAAACAGTTTCTATCCAAATGCAATTTTGGTTTTAAATGCAATGTAAGGTAGTCTCTATGGGAGTATGTTGTATTTAATTATGGGGTATCAGAGTTTTTAGGGGGTTGACCAGGCTGGGATAGCAGGCTTGTTGGTTTTTGAATGTCTGATGTAGATTTTTTTCAATTTTGTTGTTCTGTATGTGTAGTGGTTCTAGGGGTTGCTTGTGCGTAAGCCGGTGACGACACTTGGCTGGGTTGCCTGAGTGAACCTTTTCTGTCCGGACAGCCACTCACCCTTGGCTGTCTCAATCGCTGGCAGAATCCGTCAGTGGGCGTTTCTTAAACTTCTTCCAGCAAAGAAGCTCTTTGATGCCTAGTCTCCTCCTACTCTCTCTGCGCGAAAGCCTTCTGCGCAAGGAGGGCGTAGGCAGCGGAGGACCTCTACTCTCCCCGCTGGTCCCCGGCAAGGAGTCATGGGACCGCCTCGCCGATTCCCCCATCTGCCCCCCTTCTCCACTGGTGCTACGCTGATTCTCTTCCCCAGAAGATGGGCTGCCTCTCCCAATCCCAGGACGCTCTCTGGAATCCCTCTGGATCTTGCTCTCTCCCTCCGGCACTGATGGCAGTTCCCTGACAGTATGGGACAATGACAATAAAGATTATCGTATCGTATCCAGCATTGCTCATACTTCTCAAAAACTTGTGCTCAGTTTCCTTTTGCCTGGAGTAAAAACACAGAATATGCCGAATGTCTTTTCTTCCTCTTTAATTAAAGTGAACATGTTTGAAAACCCAGAGGCTTTGATAGCTGGGCTATTTGTTCTATGCGAGAGTGTTTTGAGAAATAAATGAGGAATTCCTTAAGAGAAGCAGGGCTATGTGGAATGGATGCCTCTGGATCTCAAGAAGGATCTTTTTGGGACAATACATTTGGCATCTGTGCTAATTAATGCATCTTGATGTCTCCCTTAATAATTAATTTGCACTGTTTTTCTAGCTCCTGGAGAGATTGCTTTCCATTTCCACAATAACTTTACAGGGCAGACATTCCTCCCACAAGTTCACTATAATTACTGGAGATTTTGAAGCTTTTAAAAGAGGCCCCCCATAGAGCCAATGAGACGCACTTGCTCCTACCAGCAACCTGCTTGGACTGTCATGCAATTTTGGGCAGTGATATATATTTCAAGACGTATGGTGAAGCTGGGGGGGGGGCAGGGAGTATGTCCAAGCAAATAAAGGCGTGTTTAAGCTGTCGCTGTGGTGTGGTTCTTATGAGCTGACAGTTGCGCCAAGGCTTTTGTTAAAAATAGCAGTTAAGTCTACTGTCCTTGGAACACTTGATACCCTTTCAAAAGCTACAACATGTAGCATAGCAGTGAGTCAAGCCATAACCTTTGTGAAAACCGGCCTTGTAGTTGTGCCTGCATCAACTATCTTTCGATAAATGTAGCTCTCTGTTCTTGAGGATCTGAACTATGGTGCTAACGCATTTGGAATATTTGTGTACAGTTCTGGTCAATTCACCTCAGAAAGGATATTGTAGAGTTGGGAAAGGCTCAGGAAAGGGCCACTGAAATGGTAATGTGGGCTGGAGCGACTATGAAGAAAAGTTGTCATGTTTGGGACTTTTTAGTGCAGGCAAGCAAGTGTTACTGTGATATATATTTATAAAATTATGTGTGGCAGAATTATACCATTCTTCCATTTTATATTCTGCTTGCCCCTTCCACTTCCTTGCTGTAATAATTTGTGCGGCTGTCAATAAATTTGTGAGCGAGTCCTTCATAGCCTGCGAACCTTCCACCCCATCGTAAATTGATAATCATGCTATCTCCGGACTTGCGGTCAGCTTTAACCCAGTGATTTCTGTTATCTCCTTAAACACACTTTGCCCCCCAAAATTGTACATATTTACACCCCCACCACATGTGAATGTAATTCCCTGTTGCCTGGCATCCCCTTCAAATGTTTTTTCTCCATCTCTCAGAGAGATCCTTTGCAGCTGAAAGTTGGCAGATAAGAGAAAGCGCTTCTTCACACTATGGAACTTGCTCCCTCAGGGGGCAGTGATGGGACCAGCTTGGATGACCTTAAAAGATGAATTGACAAATTCATGGCGGGGAGGGCTACTGGCTATGCTCTACCTCCACAGTTGGTGGCAGCAAGGCTTCCGAATACCAGTGGCTGGAGTGAAGTGAAGGACATGAGGCAGGAGTTGGTAATGCAGGTGAGCTGTGCACAAGCAAGCTGCCAGCTAGCTCTGCAGAAGCTCCTTTTATTGGCACAATATGCAAAACCAGGCAGATACATTTTGGACTGTGACCATTACACATCTTCCAATCCCGAGATCATGGGGTGGTACAAGGTTATTTTGGCACCTGTTTCCACCGTGTCATTTCCCGCTTGCACTATGTATGACAAAGGAGACAAAGGTCACAGACAGGGCACGGCAGACCACTAAGA